TTCACTAAACTGTCTGAGAAATAGGATCGTAAACTTTATTCTGTGTAGATTATTGTAATAAAACAGCCGTGAAATATAAAACAAAATAAGTTTTTATAGGAATTTGAAATTTCTGGCTGTCTATTTTAAAATATATAAATGCTAATGACAATTTAAATTATTAAAAGAGAGCAGAATCTTCGCTAATAATTCAATCTTTCTGAGGTCTTATAAATTGGTTTTCAATATTATAAAAATGTAAATTTTTTTGCATATTTCGGCGCATTGAAATAAAATCATACTCAGCGACTGAGTTGTAAAAAAGGATTAGCCACGCTCTAATTGAAGCTGTTCACATATATTTCTATACACGTATCATTAAAGAAAGGGGAGAAAAAAACAAAATTAGCAAACCAACCTTGTGGAATCAGTTTCAATAAATTTTGTCATTTAAAACTAGTTCTAATACATTTAATCTATCGTATCTTAAATTATGGGCCGTTTTTTTATATAATCGTAACCGTGAATGCAAGAAAATGCTCACTTTCACCGGTGAATGTCAACAATTACGTTATAGCTTTGGTGAGTGTACGAAATATTTCTTATACCCCATTTGAAATTCATTTATTCGTTGATATTATTATATTTATTCGATATTTTACCATTCAAGATTCGCTTCGTTGTAGCTCCCACTCATCTCTATAATAAATCGACCAGATTTATAAATCATGATTTAAAGACAAATCAGTGGAGCGTCCTTAAAAATTTTTTGTATTTGAGAACGCCCATATATTTCTCGATTAATTTCTCTGCGCAACTAAAGTGAACCAGATGGGTGAGTTTTTCGAGGTAAATATATTTCAGGTTCTCACTCGCACCTCCGAGAATTCGCCTACACGATATTTACAGTGTTAAAAGAAATTAGGTTCTATTTTTATTTATTATCAAAAATAAATTTTTTCTATATTTATTTTACTGTTATCGCCAAGTATCAAAAAGTTCCGCTCTCCGGAAAAAAAAATCTAAATTTATAGCATTGAATTAGCATTAAAGATGCTTAGAAGAGATTTCCCTTCATAAATCTCTAACCCTTGATTAAAAAGAAAATATATTGCAACATTTAAAATAACTGCCAAAAAGAAACACTAAAATGACCAAAGTAAAGCAAAGGATGGATTTTGTGAATATCATTCACGAATTCAACACTCAGCGGCTCCACAGTTTTGACAGTGCTTTTTTGAGTGCTTCGCTTCTCTTCGTCCACTTTGAAGCACTTTTCTGATTCAACTATAAAATAATAGGCAACAAAAAAGAAGAATATCAACCACATTTTATCGACAGTTAGACTCAACAAAAAAATGGAGTGATAGCGCTGAAGATAACAGTCACAAATTCTCAAGAAAATAAAGTTCGAAATATCTAATAATTTGGAAAAACAAAACCATTTATTATATTGCTCAAAAATTCGCAATTTGCTTATCTCTCTCCTATTCTACAAAATAAGTTTTATACACAGATATAAAAACAAACATATGAATGGAATAAACAAATATATAAATGGAAAATCGAAGGAAAAAAAAACACTAAGATATCGGTTTTCTTCCGGGAATTATAAACAATCTAAGCGGGTCATACACAAAAGAATATTTTTCAAAATAAAATATATGTGAGCTATTCGAGAAACTGAAAGAAATATCCATGGAATTGAAATACTAAAATACAATGGTATTTTTCTAAGACATGTATCGATCGGAAAAATAGTCAAAATAGCTACACATTTTAGAAAAGTAAACTGTAAAGTCTATTACTGTGGTTTCTAAGATGTTTTCAAGACAATATCTGACGTCAGAATAAAAGACGAGAAAAGACATGATTTCCTTCAGAAGAAAAACTTTCCTTCCTAATTTACTATTGGATATTTAGAAAATTAGTTTCCATTTCCGCTCACGAATAAACAGACCCATCGTTTTAAAAGGTCAGTTTTGCCGTTATAAATACGGCCAGCTGCTCCTTTAAAAAAGTATTTCTCATTTCAATGTTGGAGGAATCTGTCAGAATTTGTAAGGTGAGTAGAGAATTTTAATTCATGTTCTTTTAAGCAAAGGCAAAATTGATCTCTCAATATTAAAAAATCATCATAAGCGCAGTTTTAGGGGTTCAACTTAAATTTTACATTTCGTTTTGCTTTGCAAAAACTGAGAAATTTAGAAACTTGAAATTACGCGCAGAAAAATGTACAGAGAGTACAATGGAATGAAAAAAAATTAACATTCGATAATTAGTTCAAGAATTTAGTAACTTATTATTGTATTACTTGTAGGGGGGGAAATTTGGTGCGTAACTTTTTTGTGTATTCCTATGTGTTAGCCGAACTACTGCCCGTTGAAGAGCAGCTACAGAGTTGAAATTTGACGGTCTAAAAAACAACATTTATATTTAATTGCGTAACGTAATTCTAATTTGTTAGAAAGTTATTGTAATTTTAAGTTTTTTGTTCATGAATTTTTGCCATTTTTTTGCTATAAATAAGATTATTTATCCCTTGTTGAAGAAAAATTTATCTCTCTCGAGATTTTCATTTTAAAAGCTCGCTCTTGACTCGATGACATAAGTATCAAGAAACAAAAATGAACTTAACTTTAAAAAAAAATAAAAAAAGTGAGAAATTAGATGTTGCCATACATAACTTTTAACATTTGTATCGATATTTTAAAAAGCATGAAAAAGACTAAGAATTAAGCGACTGTATCAGGATATAATGTTATTATTATATATTGTTAACAAGTAAAATTTCTTCGCATTTATTGCTTCTTATAGTGTCCCCCGGTACGTTCCTAATTTTGAATTATTTTTTTTTTCGAATTCAGATGATTATTTTTTAAATTCTGATAATGATTGTTTTCATGAGGATTACCATATTAAAAAATGTGCTTACATAAAATTATAATTACTGTATATTTCATAAACAAAATTACCTTTATTTATCGATTTTTAGAGGAAAAAAACAATTATAAATGAGAAGCAACAGAGCAAAGTGAACAGAGGACGGTGACTCCTAGCCTTTTTAAATATTTTTAAAATTATTTCCTTCAAGCAATTTTTTAAAAAAATTTACTATGAAGTTATTAAATTTTAACTGATTAATAAATAATAACGTGTTATCGAATATGTAATTATTAATATGAAAGTAAAACATAAAGTAAAGTAAACCATACAAATTTGAGATCTGCATGATGATAGTCTTCCAAAACAAACAAATAAATTTATATCTGTACAGTGCGTAAAAAAGAAAAAAAAACATATCAAATGATCGGATCTGTACGTTCTGGGATTCATTCTCAAAGGTTCAAGAGGGTGACCTCGAATATGCTGATTAGTTAATGCAGACGATATTTTAAGTTACGAAATAAGACACAAAAACGAATTTTCTGTAAATAAACATGTCTTTTTTTTTCCCGACGGATTTTAATTACTGACCCCCAAAATAGCGCAATCTTGGAAATAGGGTCCCAGTAGTTTGGTCAGGCTCCAAAGTTTGGACCCCTTAATGTTTATTTTACCTTTCGTGTATTTCGCCATATGTCGAGATTTTTTTAAAGTAAATTCCAGAAAATTTGCACACAATTACAAAATTTGTTTATCCAAAGATAATTCCGTACAGAAAATTTATTTTAGTAAATATTTATTATTTTATGCAACAATATCCGAAACAATTTTGAATTGTACGGACACAATTCCTTACATCATTTTAAAGTATGTGATTTTAGATAGCAAGATACGACATTTGAGCTGAATCGGTTGAATGGTTCCTGAGAAATCGAATTTTAAATATACGACTTCTTAAAAATTCGATTTCTCAGATTCGATTTATGTTCTTGCATATTATAATAAATCCAAATTATAGGCATTTACCAATTTAATGGAAGGTAATTTCAAAAAAGGATACTTTTCAGCTTTTTTTCCTATTAAAACGTAAACATTTTGACTATGCAAAGTAAGAAAATATTTCAGCATCAGAAGAAAACAGTTTTAAGTTATCATATAAAGGAAAGTTCAAAGGAAAGTTGTCCCAAGTAATTCTGAATTTCTTAATAGCTGTAAAAAAATCTGTTTTATTATTACAAATACATTTCAACCTAAGAATTTGATTAATAAAAATATTTTTTAAATTTTGAAGTATAAATTGGAATTAAAATGCATTTAACTAATAATATTAAACTTAAAATATCTTCTTTTATTGTATAATCTAATTAAACTTAAAACTGCAAGTGGAAAAGATTGTCTCATATATGATAGAAAGAAGGAAGGTTAATAAGCGTAGTTCTGAGCGTTTTAAAGTCAGCAAAAATCAAACCATGTCTGAATTTGTATCTATCATAAAGATACCTCAAGATTGAATCGAGTTAACATGCTTTATATACTAAGGAATTTTTATCTAATATTTGTAGACATGCCACATTACACCAGAATTTTTATGTGTTAGAATTCGATGAGCGAATACCACTAATTGATTACTGCTGTTCATTTTATATTTTTTCGCTCATTATTATTTTTTTTTATTGGCAAGGAGAATTGTTGTATTCACTTCAACTAATATTAATTCGCCGAGTTTATAGTAATTAGTAAGTATTAGGTTAACCGTTTGTCGTGAGAATTGTATAAAGTTCACGGTTGTGTGTGTGGACTCTCCTGTGTTGCTATTAGCAATTGAGTGTGTGTAGGATTCCATTGTATGTAAATGGTACTGAGAAGCATCAGCGAGAGGAGGACAAAGTGATCATTTCAATATGATCCTGGTAGTCGTATTCATCGCACGTCCCCTAAGAGTAGAAAACGTCAACACCCAATCTTCATCTATCAAATTAGGTACATCAAAATTAAATATTGTTATCATATCTTATATACTAGTGAATAGATATTTAATATTTGTAGTGGTAGTTACGCCATAAATGTATTTTGTTTATTCGAAAGAAACAAACAATTATCAAGTGACATAAATTACTTTGTAATTGTTTTTAAAGGCAACTGCATCAGTGCATTGGCAGATCCTCGAAAGCGAAGTGGCCACATTCCCTACAGAGACAGCACACTCACAAAACTACTGGCCGACAGTCTGGGAGGTAGCGGCTTGGCTTTGATGGCAAGTTCCTTGGATTTTACTTTACATTTCATGTATACACATTTGGTTTCATAGGGCGGTTTACTCACGGTGTTAAATGATATCGTCTAATTTAATTTGGGGTATTCACCTTACACTCTAATTGAATAATAAATAAACTTTCCAGAAATCTCTTAGTGATAATGATTCTTTTTGTTAACGAAGTGACAAAAATGATTGATAGTACAGAAACAGTTACAAACTCTGAGCAATCATCGAAAAGTTTTAAAATCTTCTTATTTATTTATTTAGTGAGATTGGAACTTTCACTAAGGATGCTCGATCTAGCACTTCACTCTCTCTCTCTCCCTCTAATGCTTTACGCCAGATATAGTGTATTTTGTATGTGGCGGTTATAGAAATATTATTCTTCATTTTGTATAACAATCAGGTTTCGGGGTCTCAAGGAATACGCCTCCCAATGAAGTGAACCGGGTACGAATTCCGCACCCTGCTCGCACAGAGGAGCCCAGTGCTGACGTAAAATATCCTTAGTGGTAGTCGGATCGTGGGTTACAGTCCCTTTGTCGCCAGGCTGACCGTGGTAGGTTTTCGCGGTTTTCCTCTCCATGTAACGCTAATGCGGATTAGTTACTTCAAAAAGTTCTCGACGAAGATAAAATTCCTCCCAATATTCGATCTAGAAGTTCTCTAGTCATCTACATTAGGTTCAATGGGTAGTCGTTAATTCAAAATTGGGTCTGCTGTTCAACAACAGTTGTAAAATTATAAAATAATCAATTCCACATTTTTTTAAGCTTTTTTGGATTGTCTGGAACGGGAGTAGATTAAAAATCAAAATCTTAATATGAATATGAGAGTTAGAAAACATTACCCTTGACAAGCATCTTCCAAATAGCCATCGTAGTCTATTTATTCGCACCAGTGTATCAAAATGTAAAATCGATTTTTGAAGCCACACCTTGAAAAACAGTTCCACATAATTTCCAGAAGTTTTTCTTCGAATTTCCTAAACATTTGAATTTCTTTATCATTAAAGAGAAAGTGACTTTGAAATAGCTTGAATGTATAATATTTATTTACAATTCCTAATAATAAGTGTAAATATGTAAATGAATATCTGAACAGATCGCCTGTGTATCCCCAAGTCGAGCGAATCTCGCCGAGACTATAAACACTTTGAGGTACGCATCGAGAGCAAAGAAAATCAAGACGAAACCAATGGTCAGAATGGTGAGTAGCTCTTTTTTACTCTGATTTGGCTTCATACTCAATTAAGTGAATATTATCTTAAATGACAATTTTATTTATAATACCTTCAGAATCGTCTGATATGTTGTTATATAATAATTAGATAAATTCGAAAGTAGAAGTGAACTGCCGTAATGGAAGGGTTAAGCATTAAAACTAAAATACAGCTCTAAATTAATATTAAATCGGCATAAATTGAAGTATAAAATTAAAACAAAATAAAGAAGAGATTGTTTACTTAACATTATTATTTTTAATTTCTGTCGGACTTATAGCTGAGTTTATTTTCACTCTTCATAACCCACGCGAGAAAAGGATAAAATTCAGAAATTTATATACATGTACGTTTTAGCGTTCATGTTTACGACAGCTCACTCGCTTGGTATTTCCTCGATTCTTCGTCGCCAACGTTAAAAAGAAATTTCATCGAATTTTCAGTATAACCGTAACAGAAGTGATGCATAATCGATACATAAGTGTAATTGTTTTAAATAATAAAATAGATCAGTGCTATAAATATTTTTTTGCTTCAAAATTTTAAAACTTTTATCATCTAAAACCTTTTTTATTAAATTCCAAAATAAAAATGTAATTTGAAATTGTTTTTCTAAGTTAAAAAATATCTCCTTCATAATTAAATTTCAATTTTTTTCCTCCCCCTCTGCAGTGAACTGTGAGATGCAGTTGCCTTTCATGAATTACTGCACATGAACTACTAAACATGAGCACCGAGTACTGAATCCATAATTTTAACACAGATCCAAATCTACTTGAACACAATTCATGGATTAGACTTAACGATCTAAATATTTTAATTCGATGGCATGAAACTCTCAATGATCACAAATCGATTTGTGTTTTGAATGAATTGATTTTAAGCAACTAATTTGATTTATTGATTATGGATTCGAGCAATTTGTTTAGATCTAGAGACTAAGAGATCGATTTTAATAGGTTAAACAGATTAACTTTATTAGAATCGATTCAATAATACATTATCTATTTACTACGCGTTATCCGTTTTTATTTTCCGTCCAACATGCCAAATCACGTGATTTGTGTTTTGTATTTTATAGGACCCGAGAGAACAGCTGATCATAAGCCTGAAGAGGGAAGTTCGGGTGCTGAGAATGGAAAACAGCTTCTTGAGGCAACAGGTGAGAATGAAACTGACACGAAGCTTTGTGGCTGTCATTATTGAAAAGCTTCTTTTGAAACAAAAGAGAAATAATTCAACTATTAAAAATTATTTTCTGGAGAGAAGCCAATGCTGTTATATTATGGAAATATATAAATATATAATTATTTAAAAATATATGTTACCGTGAATGACTGAAATCAAGAGAATGTCGACTTTCGCCGGTGAATGTCAAAAACCACATAGTCACTTTGGTGAATGTCCGAAATATTTTATACTAATTTATTCGTTGATATTATTACATTTATTCTATAATTTAGTATCTTCTGAGGTTAGTTTAAGTGAAACATCAGTGTACGGTGTACCAGTTAAATGCATATAAAGCAGTTGACCTTACAGAAACGTTGATGTAGGGCATACCAGGCAAATATATACGGAGCAATGGCACTTAACTAGACCTAATATATATTTCAGACATTTACCAAACCGACTCTGTGATTGTCAACATTCACTGGTAAAAATTAATAACAATCAAAACTTGCGTGATGATTTCCGTTTTTACACACATTTTAAACTAATAATGAACAAAATTTACTTTGTCATAAATAAATTTTGAAATTCATCAGCGGTTTTTTCAACTTTACGATGAGGTTTTGTTTCACACCATTCTCTCAACTTTATGAATATTCCTGTAAATTTTAAAATAGAACTATGCTAAACATTCAAAAATTTAAAATATAATAAAAATTTAAAATACATATATTTAAAAATTTAAATAATAGTACACCTTATGAAGCAATTACATTTCTGTGATTTTCTTCCGAAATTCTGATTCTAATAAAGCACTTAAAATTTTAAAACAAATTCAAAACTCGTTAGATTGAGCAATTTATTATATTTTCTAGGGTCCTGTTAAATTCTCGGTTTTTCACTATCTTACATATCTATAGTGCGGCTTTGAGGAGAATTCCTCCAGACTGAAAGTCTGGGGCTGTCTGCTGCTATGGTTACAAGCGAGAGCTCATTTCTAATGGGGGTGAAATGGAGGAAAGAAGGTGTCGATTGGTTTACTTACGACGACCTAAGCTAAGATTAAGACAAAATTATTTACATTACATTATTTACCTCACCCCCTATTCGAAGTGACCTTCCCTCGTAACCATAGTACCCGCCACGACGCGAGACGGGTGTCTGGAGTTCTTCTGAAAGCCGTACTATAAAATGGTCTTGGAAAATTTCAAAATAAAAATAAGAATCCCTTATTTTACTTCTTAACTTTAAAAAAGTATATTTTCAAAAGAAATAGCATTGAATGCTTAATGCTGAGACTCTATATGATATTTTTTACTAAAATGAACTTGCATTAAAAGAAAAATCTTTGTTTCAGCTCCATTTAGATAATGGACTGTTGACAAATAACAAAGGAGCTGTAGCCATACGAGGAAACGTGTCAATGGACGGTAAGAAAAAAAAAAGTCGTTAAAAATTCATCAAACTTTTAGGCTAAAAATAAAAGTCTTAATTAAGCTGATTTTCCTAGGTTCAATTCCAATTTTAATTTCGTCACAAATGATAAAAATTCATCACTTGCTTAAAGAGTTTAAAACACAAAAATTGAAAATCTTTTTTTTCTTCATTTTTTAATAGTATTATATTATTATTACTTAAAGAAACACTGTTTTTCAAAATTGCAAAACTTTGACAACCGATTTTTCGAACAATCAAATGCATGGTTTCATTCAATGTGACATCTTAATTCTTCTTTTCAAGTAATTTTGTAAGAGAAGTGATTATAACAAAAAATATTAAAGTTGTAAAAACTAATAATATTTGATTCCTGATTTTCAAAAACTTGGGTAGTATTCGTGTTAGATCTGGTTTGACTGTTGTTTCTGATATACGTCATTTTTAATGAATGAAATAATGCTTTTCTAAATAAATTGTTTTTGGTACCAAACATTTTGTGATTTAAACAAAACAAAAATAACATAAAAAAATGCTTATAAGCAGTGAAATTTGTATCCTAAACAGTGCCAATTAAATGAAGTCAATATTTCAATGGATTAAATCCGATCAATAGATTAATTTTGAAAATAAAGACAAAAACATTTTTTACTTCGACTATTAAAGGACCCCCAGAAATTGTTTCTATTAATTAAAAAAGTAGCTCAATGGCCTCCTGAGACCCGAACTTCCGGCTAAAATAAGGATTTTTTCTTAATGTGTAGTTAAAATAACACATAAATTCGCTACAACATATTTAAAAAATTCAATTAATTAAATATTTTGGAATTTTCTTTAACTACTTATTTACTTATTCGAGTTTTAATCGCACAAAAAACCTTAAGTATGTTTTGCATACTGTAAGAATATTTTTATCGTGTATTTCTTCACATATTGATCATAAAAGAAAATACACTTGACTAAAATTTTAAATATTCAATTGCCACTAAACAGTTCAAAAGATTACTTATTGAATCGAATTTCTTACTTTTCTTATAGTTTTTCGCTGTCAGTAAAAATTCGAACAAGGGTAAATTCTTCAATTGATAAAATTGTATGAAATATTCTCCAATATATTGAAGGCTCGTGCTTAAGAGATCATTGGAACGAATTACCGATAAAGTGAAAGAAGTCTCAGTATTACAATCCACTGACATTCGATTCTGTTCTCAAAATTTGAAGTCGATTTTACAATATATCGTGAAAGCGGTAAATTATTCGGCTCACAAAGCAAAAAATATTCTAATAATAGCTAAAAATACAAATATTTTATTCAGCTTTGAAATTTTCTCTCACATAAATTATGTTCATTTTTACGAACATTAAACTAAATAAACTCATTAATAATTATAAAATATTCACGAGCCATTCAATTGTTTTAATAATAATCAAATTTAATAATGAATGATGCGAATATGATTAAATTTCCACATAAGTTTTAAAAAAAATTACCCTTTTCTTTTTCAGCTTAATTTTTATGGGTATTTCTACTTAAAATTATAATTATATCAATTTTTCCTATAGATAATTTCCTTCCTATCAAATACATGATTATACTAATATTTTTTATTTATAATTTGATTTATAACAAAATACCATTACCTAAAATCAAATTTGAAAAAGTTTTGCAGTTTGAAAATCTGGTGAAATTTATTGAACTTTAAAAGTTTTAATGAACTCTTATACTTCACAATGAATGTGTAATAACGTCTAACTCATTGTAAAAGACGCAAGTTTTAATTAACTAACGGCTTTAAACGAGTTTAATCGATAAATTGGAGGGTAAACTTTTAAATTTTATTCCAGATATGAAACCAGATGAGGTGAAAACTATGCTTCAACAATACATGAATGACAACGAATCATTAAGGTGAGATATTCTTTCTATTTAAAAAGTTTATATTTGTTATAGTCCGAGAAGACCAACTCACTATAAAAGAAATGTTTTTTGTTTTTTACTATTTTTCAGAGGGATACTAAATTTGTTTGAGGCTCAGCGTAAATTTAAAAAGACTAATCGCAATAAGCAACGTACAAATTTAGAACATAGCATCCTGAATAACTTTTGATCGAATAATCAAAATTTTACGTTATTAGATGCATTCTTTAAAGTTTAAAACTTTCAATTACGATATACGAACGAATCAGAAGTGGCAATAATTAGGTCACGCAATAAAACATAGTATTTTTGATCCTTCAAGAAATTGGGAGGCGTCAACACACTTTGGAAAATATGATTTCAATAATTTTGTCGAAATCCCTGTAAAAAAGCACTTGAAAGCAGTGGACTGAAAAACTACATTTTCTTTGTTGTTAACTACAGCTACCACTAATTTATTACAATTGTAGTTAATTGCAACCATTTTTTTTTTAATGTAGCTACTACAAACTATTTTCGAAATGTAGTCACAACTTCGCTACTTTTTTAAAGGACATACTTAACGGGCGAATTTAATTTTCACCAATATTCAAAATGATTTTGAATAAAAAAACTGGCTTGGTTAAATAGGGGGAGATATTAAGAAGTTTTAATTCATGTTTACATGAAATAGTTATTTTATCCTAAATCAATTTTTACTAATTTATTCTTTGATCTTTCAAACTTTATGCTTTACTCGACAGTTATTTAAGAAATTCTAGGAAATTATCAAATATTTGTAATTTAAGTGATCAATACTTTTTTTTATATCCTTTAAGAAATAAAGTACAGTGCGACAAACAAAAAACGGACCACCCTGGATATCTTTTGATCTTATGATCATATCTTCACGTTCTAGCACTCAATCTTAATGATTTGAGGGGATGACCGGAAATATTCTTATTAATTAATACAGACGATATTTTAAGTTACAAAATCAGACGCAAAAACGTACTTTGAAGTGCCTGTGAAATCGAATTTTAAAAAAGTCAGATATTTAAATTTTGATTTCTCAGGAACAACCCTACCGATTTTTCCCAGCATCAGACATAGATCTTATTAACGCTCGGCTACAGAGGCATCCTCATTGCGTACGTTGACTAGCCCGCGAAGAATTTGCACTAATCAGATTCAAAAATATTTTGCGTTTGCACTTTGTTTCTTTCTTTAACTAACGTTAAAAGTAGTAGCTAGTAATCGCTGCAAAATACTTTATTTTTTTATATTACTACTCCCTACACTACTTCATTTAAAAAGTAGTGCACTACACTACAAACTACGGAAAAAAGTAGCGACTACAGTAGTTTCGCTACTTGTAGCGCACTACTTCCGACCACTGCTTGAAATATTGATATGCATTTTACGTTTTGAGTTATATCCGTGGAATTAGTTGAATAAATTAAAAGAAAAACTCTTTTATGAGACTCGTTTTCTCGAAAATAATTTAGATTGTTAGATCAGAAGACGCTCAGAACATTTCGCCTCTTCCTTACTGATGGAAATTGAGTGAAATCGTACTCAGTAACTACACTAATCTCATTGGCGGCATGCTATTTATAACTAGAAATACAATGCGCCAAGCTGTGTGTTGAACAAAAGTTAGCATTTCGTAAGTTCATTTACGAATAGAAAAGAGAATCTTGCAAGTAAATATTTTTTACGTCTCCTACATTTCGTTTAAATATCTACGATTTTTATTATTTTTAAGATTAAATGACCCCCTATATTGACCAAAGAATTTTTTTTCAATAATATATTGCTTATTAATATTAGTTATCGTGTAAAACTACGAATAATTTTTGCTTTATATATTTAAGTTGAAAAAGAACATAGTTGAAACAAAAACTATTATTGGAATTGACGAACAAATTGCTTTTGATTCTAATTTCAAAATAAAAATGCCTGTTTTATCAACTAAAAGTATAATTTACTAACTTTTAGATCTAAGAATAATTTATGCACAATACTAAATAATCTATAAGCTATGTGTGCATTTATAGAACCGTACTTAAAAGCTAAACATAATTGAATTAAGTATAAAACAAAGCTTTTTGTTTCGAATACAATAGTCCAAAAGACTCATTTCTTATTTGACTATAAAAGAAATTCTTCTATAATTCATTATTTCACGAAGAAATATTCATTTGTTAAAATATGTTGAGTATTTTAAAAATATAAAAATATTTAAACGTTTCTCGTTGAAATTTCAGGGAAGAAAATGCGGAATTGAGATTTACGAATGATCTACTGACTCGAGAACTTGAAAGAGTCAACAAAGAGAACGAAAGGTTGCAGAAAGAAAGGTAAGAAGCCAACCATTGATTAGAACATTTATTTAATTACTATTTATTAATGTTTTTACAAAATCACTAATTTTTGAAAAACATCAGTTGCTGTACAATAAATTGAACTGTAGATATCCATAACCATAACCATAAACAGATCCATAAACAGAATTTTGGTTATGAAACTTTATAAACATACATTTAAAAATCTTTTTTAAAATATAAAAAGTAAAAAACCTCAGATGATCAAGCGTATTGTTTCAGATAATAATTGAGGTAATCGATAGTTTTTTTGGTTGTTGAAGTTGAGTTTCATCGTTGAAGATTGTAATGCTTACGCACAATTAAAAAAGAGAAGGTTGTTCACTGAAAGGAAAATATTTCATAAGTCAACAAAGTCTTCGAAAAAAAAAGAAGAAAAGAAAACAGTCAACTTTTTTTCTATAAATGTTTTGAAATGTTCATTATGTTGTATATGCCTGGAGATAGAGCACTTCACTTCCAAAAAGAGGATAATCAGGTTCGAATCGAAGCGATGGCCGGTCATTTCGCGTGGATGGTTGACTGAATGAATGTAAACAATAAACAAGCATCCTTAAACCGGAAGAAATTTAGAAAACTTCCGGTGTATCCCTCCGCTTATGGTATGCTTCCAGACGATGTGTGAACAGGCTTAATATTCTATGAAGTTTTATTATTTTGATTTGTGTTCACATTTACGCGTAATTTTACCATTCATAAGAGTTCTCTGTAATTTACAAATTTTAACTGATAGTGAGTCTACAACAAATTTAAGATAAATAAAGGGTAAGGTTTGCCATATTTTGAGTGTTATCCCTCATTTGGCTATAGTTGTGCAAAATATCACCGTTTGTAATATTTTTTGGGTTGTATCATAGCATATGAATGCGGAGTCTTCGTTTCAAATTCGTTTGTTGAGATTTGAATTTAAAGAACACGTTACATTGTAAATACAAGCATAATAACATTGAGTGACGTTCTTTTTCAAGGTTAGGCACACTAATCAATCGGAAGTAGTAATTCGGAAATCTAACGACGAATTTTTACCCCTAGCGCCAGGGCTCGAAAAACAGCCCGTCCGCCCATCCTCAACGGTCAAAAATTCTCCGCGGAC